TTCCAAAACAACAAAACAACTAAAATATTAATTTTACAATACTAGCGCCATAATCGTTGAATTTTTTAATTTTTGTTTTCAGTTTTAGTTATATCATCGCTCAAAAGTATTTGCCCACTACATAAAATCTCAAATTTCAAAAAACAAACTCTCACAGAAATCGACAAAATTTTCTGGTGAAATTGTTAATGGTAGATGACTCAAGAGCGTTGTAAATTGCCAGTCTCTATTTTTTGCGTAGAAAAAAAAAAAGATTTAAAGTTATTTAGAAAAAACTTCCTTCATTACAAAATTAAATTTTGCGAATTTTATTTTTTTATAACCCTCGTAAGTTAAAATAAAACTATGTGTGGACACGGTGGTGTAGACTGTCAAACTACAGCTAAAGAAGCATGTTATGCGTTTGTTTCAAGTGAGTTTTGTCTAACAAAATTTTGTTATGATCTCAACATCTGTATATATCACTTTGAATAGGTACGGTGTAATTACTAATAACACCAGATTCTCAGAACAGATCTCAAATTTTCGGGAAAATAGTATGAACCGTTCTTGATTAGATTGATAAAAAACTGCAGCTCGGCATTGATCCCCGGACCTCCCATCTGCGAAGCGAGCGCACCTCTGCTAGACTCCACTGTGGTTATGGAGCTTTGTATTATATGCCTAAAGAACAAGGGGAATTGTAGAATAAAAAAATATAATAATAATAAACAAAAAGCAGGTAGATTAATAAACCACAATTACAAGAGTGTGTTATTTTATAAAATATAGTTGCTACTTTTATAAAAATTTTTGCCGGGACCTCAGTACATCGTTGGTGAAGATGATCAGGCAAATTTTGGTTAGCATTTCAGCATCTGCACGAGAAAACCAAAAATACGAAATTTGATAACAATCGATCCAGTAGTTTCGGGGATTGTCTGTCAAAAATAAATCTGGCAAACAGATGACAAGTAGACGGAAACGGAAGACCTATTTTTTCGTACTCTTGAAGGCATTAAACGTCCAGAAAACAAAAGTGGCCATGGATCTCATTACAATCCGCTCGGGAAATAAAAATCATCCATTGTTGTAAAGTTTTCGTAAAAAGTTCGCATGATAAATTACTTTGATTTCTGTAAGAATGTCAAGGAGAAAAAAACTTCGCTACTGTTAAGTAAGTTTACAAACATTGAAATATTAATTAAGAATAAAACCAAAAAATTCCGTCTCAGAATTATTGAAAAAAATTTAATTAACTTAACATCATTATGTTAAAAATAAATTTCATGGCCCACTAGAGACCCACTGGATTTTTTCGAGCTGTAGTGTAGTACTTGGTAAGATAAAGACTGAATTTGGCAAATGACATACCCTCTAAGAAAGTAAAGGGTGGGAGGGCGGGGCTAGTACTTTCTAAGATAAGACTTATTTCGGCAGATGACATATCCTCTGAGAAAGTAGAGGGTGGGTGGGTGGGGCTAGTACTTGGTAAGATAAGACTGAATTTGGTAAATGACATACCCTCTAAGAAAGTAAAGGGTGGGTGGGCGGGGCTAGTACTTTCTAAGGTAAGACTTATTTCGGCAGATGACATTTCCTCTGAGAAAGTAAAGGGTGGGTGGGCGAGGCTAGTACTTTCTAAGGTAAGACTTATTTCGGCAGATGACATATCCTCTGAGAAAGTAAAGGGTGGGTGGGCGGGGCTAGTACTTTCTAAGGTAAGACTTATTTCGGCAGATGACATATCCTCTGAGAAAGTAGAGGGCGGGTCGTGGGATTAGTACTTGGTAAGATAAGACTGAATTTGGCAAATGACATACCCTCTAAGAAAATAGGGGGCGGGTGGGCTTTCCTAGTACTTGTTAAGATAAAACTGATTTTGCTCCTATTAATCTTGTGAAAACTTGTGAAATTTAAAGGTGTTAAATTGGGTATTTCTGTAGGGTAAGCGAAGAAAACTGTTGCTTTTCTAGTGGGAATCGAACCGCACGTTTACCGCTTGCCGGGCGGGTGCCCTTACCACTAGACTACGGAGGAGCTTATCTTTGTTCGCTTATGACTGCTTATTATTGTGTCGCCACATTTCCATAGTAACGATTTAAATTCGAGATTTTGAGGGAAAGAATCAAAATTGTATAGCAACATTTTAAAAAAACGTTAGAAATTAATTCTAAAATAACTCTGGAGCTCGAAATCTACAAACAATCTTTTTAGGTAATTTTCAAAAGAGCCGTCGAAAAATGGTCGAAACTTTCGGAAGGGGAGGATCGAAAAATTTAGTTTTTGGAAAAATTTTGTCAAAAAAATTCTGAAATGTAAATATCGACGAACTGATTCGAAAAACATTGCGTTTTGGTGGTACTCGTCAAAGATTTTCTAAAAAAATGGTTTGACAGTTTTTTTTGTTTTCAAATCCATCTTTTTTTCCAATCCTAAAAATTGCCACAATAATTTTATATTGGCGACTTTAAAAAAATTGTAAGATTTTCAAAGAAATGAAGCCAAAAATAACTTTTAGAAGTCAAACTGTAGAAAAAAATCGTTTTATGCAATTTTCCAAAAAGTTTCAAAGACGTTCCAAAGTTTTGTTAAGTATCGAAAAATTGAGCTTTTCGAAAAGTTGTATAAAACTTGACAAAAAATTTGTATTGAGAGGAAACATTTTTTAAAATCCATATTTTATTTTGATGATTTTGAAAAAATTATAACAATTTTCGAGACAATGAACCCCAAAATAACCTCTGGAGTTCGAAATTTTCAACAAAAATATCTTTAGGTGCTGTTTGAAAACCCTAGAAAAATAGTCAAAATTTTCGGAAGGTTAAATCTAAGCAACTGTGCTTTTGAAAATGTCTTAAAATTCTCAAAAAATCCGGGATAAATCTCGACGAACTAATAAAAAAAAATTGAGTTTTGATGGTCCTGGACCAACATTTTCGAAATATGCGTTTGATAGATAAATTTTTTAAGAACCCTGTAAATTACCATATTTTATATTGGCAATTTTGAAAAAAATTGTAAGAATTCTCTAAGATACTATAGAAATCTACAAAAATCTCTTTAGGTAATTTTCAAAAGAATAGTGGAAAAACTGTCGTAATTTTCGAAAAATTTAGTTGGAAAAAAATTTGTCAAAAAATTCACAAAAAATTCTGAAACGCAAAAAATGGTAAGAATTTTCAAATTAAGCCAAAAATAACTTCTGGAAGTCAAAATCTACCAAAAAATCTTTTTATGAAATTTTTGAAAATGTTTCGAGAGAATGAGTTTTTGGAAAAGTTATCTAAACATTGACACAAAATTCTGAGAGATGCATATCGATGAGCTGATTTGAACAATATGCGTTTTGATAAGCCTGGGCCATTTGCTGAAAATTTCTTGTTAAAAGGACAAATTTTTAAAAATTCATATTTTATATAAACACAAACAGTCGAAGTTAAGCATATACTGAGAAATTGAGAATGTGATTCCCGGAAGTTTGGTCTTTTCGAAGGCTCTCTTAACTTGCCATATATTTATAATTACGCGCCTTTTTGACCTAAAATGGCGGCGACCTTGCGGCCCTTCAACCAATCGCTTCCCTTTTGTGTTCTGTAATGGCGCGAACTCAATCACAGGTAACATCCTGTAAGTTGCATAACGCGAAACAAATGCGATTTTACCAGCTAGAATAATTTCTCTAGGTGACGTAAATCTTCCTACCTTTTTTTACTTTCAAACAAGATTGGTCCGTTCTTTTTGTTTAAAAAAATGTACGGTATTTTTCGAAATGTGACACATTGAGTAATTTTTCATATGGCGCCCTCTAATGGTGCAAATCTTAAAGCAAAACCAGGGATAAAATAAAACCTAGAAATTTTGAAAATCTCAATCATTGCATTAAGAATGTTAACATTGTCTCAACATTTCTTATGTTCCGAAGGTATTGTGCTCGCTGGAGTTGCGTTATTTTTTATATACAGGGTGCCGCATCCAAGTCTGGATATAGGGAATTAACATGCGAATTGGTTTTTATTTTATAATATCTCCCCAGATCACTTTAAAGCTATTATTGAGCGATGGCTTTGTGGAGGTCGAAGAGGGCTATCGGCCAGTATTTTTTTCAAATCGTTGCATCGCGCTCATTCACTGTAAAAAGGTTTTAAAAATCGTATTTTGAAATTCGCGCCCGATCCGAATTGTCGCGAAGTGTTCCGTCGTACTGTCGAAGTTCGGCGATCGCGTATGTTCATTACCCATGCAAAATTCAAATGTCAAAGTGAAATTAGAAATTATTCTCATCAGAAATCAACGAACAAGTCAAACTGAATTATTTTATCCAGTGTGATGATTATTGTAGGACAAATTAAACGGAATAAATGCACAAATTGATCCATTCATTCGTCATAGTGCGCGACCCCGTCAAACGAGCCATCTCGAACTACAATCAGACCGTATCCAAAAAGCCCAAGATGAAGACTTCAATACTTCGAGCAGCTGGTCTTCCTCAAAACCCCATCAAAGCCCATCGGCAGCATTGCGACATTTTCTGGGAGCCCTCAAGCTAGGAATGTACTCGGGCTGCTTCACTCAGTAATCACTGAACGACTCAAATTGAATTATTTTATCCAATATGACGATTATTGTAGGTCAATTTAAACGGAATAAATGCACAAACTGCACAAAATATTTTATTAGGTAAGCTATGTTCTACTGCGATTAGATGAAAAAGCGGGGGCCTGCATGTTCTTCAACAGTTAATTTAATTAGTAGGTAATTTGGATAAATTTCACCCTTTTTTTTTGGAATCACTAAAGATTGGAAGTCAATTGATTTTACATTCGTTAAGCAGGGATGGATTTTTTGCCTCCAGGAAGCATCTTCATTACAGGAAATTTTTGAGAGGGAAATGTAGAACATTGACTCATCAACATTTTAAAGCATTTTTCTCTATTACGAATGTGTTTTGAGATTCAGAAACTTTTGTATTACTGTTTTATTTGTTTATTGTGTTAACAACAACAAAAATAAAAATAATATTTCGCAAAATAAAGTTACATTTATTTTCAAAGGTGATAAAAATTACATAAAATCAGGTGGGCACGACGTTTTCTAGGGGTCTTAAACAGATGAGATAGAAGAATTTCAAAAAGCATCATGACAAAAAATTGAAGCCTGTGGACTACTTCTCACATATAGAGTTTTACGAAGGAACGCTTGAGAGAATCTAGGCTGATGGAGAGTTTTTGAGGAAAATTTGTTTTACTGACGTTCATTTGGTCTTAAGGGAAGTTATAATCGTCAGAACGATCAAATTTGAGCATTACACAACCCTCACGTGGTCCATGACCTTCGTTATCAATGGCGTGCAATTGTCAGTGTATGACTGGGGTTTCTAGGACATCATGTCATTGCACCTTTTTTCATTAAATCCGGATTGAATGCTCAGAAGTAGGATAATATGCTAGCCCAGCAAATACTTCCTGCCATACAGTTCGCATAAATGTTGTTTATTTGAACCAGTATTTTTCCGCAATGTTGGAATGAAAGTTTGCACCGCCCCATTGCCCTGTGCAATCGCCGGATATAAACCCCTGAGAATTTTTTCTTTGGAGATTTCTTCACGACCATCTGCATTCAGACAAGCTATACAAACAGAGAAGCGCTGAAACAAGCAATCCAGCAATATTGTCTTCAGATTTCAACTAAAATGCTGATCAACACGCGTAGGAGTTTTGAAGATTGGCTTACTTACTGTACAGCTGCTGAGAGCAGTCTTTTTGAGCAATTCTTGAAAATAGTGCAATATTTCTCCAGATTCGTACAATATTTCATTACTTCATTCATCAACAATTGTTAAGTTTTGTTATTTGTAGTTATCTAAATGGTTCATTAAAAGGTCCTCTTCAAAAGCGCCAGCTATTTTGATGGCAAATCTTATCATCACACAATAAGAAAAGCGGGCCCTCGCTTTTTCATCTAATCGCAGTAGAACATGGCATTTTAATGAGATTTTAGTAATAAAGACTCGATCAGCACCAGCAACATAACCTAATAAAATATTTTGTGCAGTTTGTGCATTTATTTCGTTTAAATTGACCTACAATAATCGTCATATTGGATAAAATAATTCAATTTGAGTCGTTCAGTGATTACTGAGTGAGGCAGCCCGAGTACATTCCTAGCTTGAGGGCTCCCAGAAAATGTCGCAATGCTGCCGATGGGCTTTGATGGGGTTTTGAGGAAGACCAGCTGCTCGAAGTCTTGTAGTCTTCATCTTGGGCTTTTTGGATACGGTCTGATTGTAGTTCGAGATGGCTCGTTTGACGGGGTCGCGCACTATGACGAATGAATGGATCAATTTGTGCATTTATTCCGTTTAATTTGTCTTACAATAATCATCACACTGGATAAAATAATTCAGTTTGACTTGTTCGTTGATTTCTGATGAGAATAATTTCTAATTTCACTTTGACATTTGAATTTTGCATGGGTAATGAACATACGCGATCGCCGAACTTCGACAGTACGACGGAACACTTCGCGACAATTCGGATCGGGCGCGAATTTCAAAATACGATTTTTAAAACCTTTTTACAGTGAATGAGCGCGATACAACGATTTGAAAAAAATACTGGCCGATAGCCCTCTTCGACCTCCACAAAGGCATCACTCAATATTAGCTTTAAAGTGATCTGGGGAGATATTATAAAATAAAAACCAATTCGCATGTTAATTCCCTATATCCAGACTTGGATGCGGCACCCTGTACAATGCAATCCTTGATTGAAATGGTAACTTTAGATTTATTGAAATAGTCTTGACAGTGCATGTGTTTAAAAGTGACCAGTCTGTCTGTAGCTCCACATGTCAAACTTACGTCTTACGTCATACAACTGTCAAAAGTGTCAGATTTTTTGACAACATCAATATTGGCCAAACTATCAAAATTCTAGTAAAATGTCTGTCCCCACGGGACTTATTTCACACACCCGGAAAGTAAGAAGTATCTATAAGCAAGCTCTACGAACCCTAGAGTGCTGGTATGACCGAAGGTACACTTACGGTTTATAGGTTATGTCCTTACATAACTCTCCAATTTCCAGAGAAGTCTACAGATATTATGCCGTGTTGATGCGCCAGCAGTTCGATGAAAACAAAAACATCAAAGATATGAGAGTTGCCAAAGACTTGGTCGCGAATGCCGAAGAAGAATTGTTTTTGAAACAGCATTGGTTGCCACGGAAATGTTGGTAAATTATGTTGTTATTTCACAAGTAACGTGACTGTTTCAGTCCCCAACTCCCCCGGAGGTGTTGCATACGGTCGCGAAGTTATCCCTCCAGACTGGGTTTTGGATTACTGGCATCCCCTTGAGAAGGCCCAATACCCTGAGTACTTCTCTCGAAGGGAACAAAGGAAAAGAGAATATGTAAAACTCTGGGAGAAAAAATTCGGGAAAACAGAGTCACTGCCTCACCATTAAACACACCTAGATTGTGTAGACATTTATTAAATTAGTGTAATAAATAGTGACAAGTCTGCACTTGTTAATAAATAATCGTCAAAAACAATCTACTGAAAACATTGCTTTGAATTTATACAGCTACCAGCACACTTTATCTTGCTTTATCAAATGAACGTCTGAAAAATATGGGGTTTACAACTACTCCTTAGTGTTAGTTTGGCATATGCACACTCGACTTTGTGTAAATCTGAATCACAACGTACTACAAAAACGCTCTAACCTCTACATTATTGTGCCTGCACATCCAATCCCACTAAGCTACAAAATTCATTAAGTAGTTACACTATTTAATGATTTTTGATGGCAACAATTAATACTGAAAGTTGAAGAATTGACAAGCAAAGTTCAAACCACTCGTGCACTTGATGACTAATGAAAAATGCCCACTTTCTTAAGGCACTTATGTCATTGTTGTGTTCGTGATGTGTGTGAATGTGATGAGTGAACATGAATCTTTGGCCATTTTCATACGTAAATCTCGAATTGCGTTTCTAGGCCTCAAGTACTGGATGGAAACTTTAATTTCGACATTGATGCCTCGCAATTACAACTCTAACTGAAATAAATGCACCAGAAATGTTTTCAATTCATACGAATTAACTAAGTCAACAAAATCACAGATAACGAAACCCAGGTTACCCATAAAGCTTTTCCAAAATCGTGGTCGGAGCGTCCGCTTGATACCTAGATATTTGCCTCAAAAGGGCGAATTTCTTCATTCGCCCTTTAGACGACTCCATGTCGTACAAAGTGCACAAATTCAAAAGCAGGGACTCGTGCAGGGCATGAACCGGATTCGTCTCAATGGCAGTTTCGAGAACTTTAATGGCTTCCTTCAGGCGGCCGCCGTATAGAAGACAAACGCCCATGTTGTTCAAAATCTGCAAAAAAAAAATTGAGGTTATAAAATTGTGTCGTTCGTGCGGTAATGATATATGATCATATATGTATATCTGCGAAATCGAGGCGAAGCCGAGATTCCTCATGTCCAAGAGCGCGAAAGTCTTGTTGATACAGCAGCGACAAAATTTATGACTGTCACGCTAAAATTTCAACTTCGTTAAATTATTTCTCAAGTTTTACGATTATTTTTGTCATAAAGCGGCGAATAAAAAGATGTAAATTAACGATATCAATTTTATGGCGACAATGAATGTGCATTTTAAAGAGTAGCAAAATTTTGAGATGACGTCAGTAAGTTTTTGGAGTGGATAAATAAAAAATATTGGTTAGCCACTTATGGAACGTCGAAAAAACATAATATTAACCATTCGTCAAATGGGCTTTATTACGTACGCTCGAGAAGTATAAATATCTAAAAATTTTCGGTTCAAACCTTGTGTACACATAAACAACAAATTTTATTTAATATTTACTTACGTATGTCGTGTCGGCAGATACAATATTACGTGACGTTGTCAAACACAATGGTAACCTACAACTTACTCATTTGGTATTCGTTAAACAATGTACGTTTACCAATTAGGCTAGTACTTCGAGTAAGGTTAGTACACATGGTGCCAAATTGGTGTACGTAAAAGAATTAAAAAGTGAGGTTACGTCAAGTTACGCATATACAGACAATTTTCAACACAAAACTTACACAACTTCGATAATTTTCCGCAAACAAAAACACCTGACTCTGCAATGAAAACAAGAGTAAAAGGCGCGGTACGTCACACTTGTAACATAGCGCAACCCTAGAAAAATGCTAGGCAAGCACACATCTATGTTTTCACAAAATTAAGTTATGTTGAATTTACCATAACATTGTTGGGCTCTAATTGACTCGCTTGTTGGAAGTAGATATACGCCTCGTCGAAGGCGTTCTGGGCTACGGCAAGTAGCCCACGGTCCACGTATTCCCTCAAGTCCATCACGTTGCCTCTCAAGGCTCTCGCTTCATCGAAACACGTCTCAGCTCCTGCCACGTCACCGACTTGCAAGCGCAGCCGCCCCAAAGCCGAGTACAACATGTGACGAGATGTTCCATCCCTTAACAATCAATTAATTTTTTTTTTTTTTGATAATTCTGTTGGACCAACCTGTGGCACAGCTCCTCCATTATAACCATAGCCAGCTCATAATCTTTAAGGGCTAAAGCACAATTAACTATTGAATGTAGGACCCGAGTTTCCCGACCGACCCACAGACGTATCGAGTCCGCTCGGTCGGATTCGCCGATTTCCATGGGGCTGCCATCTTCACACAAGCCTTGTCTTAAATTATCCAGCATCTGTCATATAAATAAATATATTTAACGATTCAAGATGGAGAGTTGGCGGATGTGGAATTTCATCAGTGGCGTAACAGTCCTAACGGCTAAAATCTGCCGGTGGAAAAAATGCGTGCATTAAGGTCACAATCAGGTGTCAGAAACTATCTAAAATAACGGCGGAAGGTTAAACATGTGTAAGCAAAGGCATTTTTCTGTAAAGCGAAGGTTATCACTCCATCTGTTCGTTAAACGGACTTTACTGAGTAAAAGAAGTATTCCCTACTTTTTATAGTGTCACACTATAGAACCAAAAAAATTCAAATAGAAAACTTAGCTCGTTTTTAACGTGTGACGTCACTTCAAGTGCACCAGCCAACTCTGATAGCTTCAACAACACGCACATAAACATAACAACAATTAGTACCTGTTTGATCGTTGATTTCATGCTATATAACCTAGTCAGGGAGTCCTTGGGTTTGCCACAGTGCATTGGTAGTTCGCTTAAAAGCAGCCGAAAAGAAAACGAAGCTATAGAACCAGGACGTCCCCCATACATTTCAGGATAAAACTGAACAACTTTATTAAACACACACAACCAATTTTGTTGATCTTACTTGATAAAAAACATCGGGCTTGTCGAGCTGTCCAAAAGGGGCAGCCTCTGATTGAGCAACTCCAAAGGCTTTAGTTTTTACTAGGAGGGCAATGCGAGTGAACCAAAGTTGTAACGAATGTGGAGAATGTTTGCTAGCGTGACCAGAACGACCTCTACCTTGTCCGTAGATGGTTAGGAGTCGCGCCGTTAAATTAATAGCAGACCTGTAAGAACCGGCCTGGACCAGTTCTCGCAGGCCCCTTTCGTCCTGCGTGACGTCACTTTCGGTCAAGACGCTTCTCTGCGCGGCTTCAGCTTCGCCAAGACACAAGGTGACAGCCTCCCCAATATTGTCACCCTTTAAAACCAATTTTTGTTATTAAAAACTTTCGCCAATTCTCTTTGTTTACCAGATCCTCCTCTAGCAGCACCCCCGGCATCGTCAGGAGCTCCCTGTCCGGAAAATACGTTCCCGGGGGCGCCGTCGAACACGCTATCAAGCACTGCCTCGTTCTCTCGCTGGGTATCCAAGCGTCCCTTCTGCGGTCGGCCTCCGACCCCAGAGCCACCCTTGGGCAGTATCCGTCCTACAAAAACCCGTTAACAAGCGTTTATTCACTCGTCTCTCTCACAAACATCATTGTTTGATGTTATCTCCAGTTCCGATATTAACCCAGTGGAATTCCCGGTGTGGTTGTTTCCGATCAAATCAAAGAACGACGTGGTTTGATCTTTGGCCTGTGGTGGTGTTTCTGCGAATATCCTACACACTTCGGGCTCGTTTTTGTTAGCACTTGTGAGATTGTCATCTAGTTTTAGGTCGTTTATTTTAGTGGAAGCTTCGCTCAGTTCTTGAGAGAAATCAATCGTTTTGATTTTATCGTCGGTTTTCTCGCCGAAGTATTGGCTTAAGGATGGGGTCGAATCCGTCATTTTTCGTTAAACGCACTAAAACTACGCTTTGTACACGGATATTTATAAATAAAATGTACAGGTGTAATGTTGACATTCACGGTTACTCGGTATTGACATTCGCGTTGCCAACTGCGGAGCGAAATATCACTAGATGCATGGTAGAAGGAGACATGGTATAGGCATCCGATGTACCAATTTAAAAATGGTCTGCGCATCCATTTGTGACGTTAGGTGGCATCAACGACCTTGTGACTCTTGTGAGCTTCGCTAGGGAAGTCTAGGGAATTTCAGCTTGAGTTGTCATTGCTCTGTCCAATACGTCAATTAGTTGTCGGATAACGAATTGTATTTTAAATTTCGCGCTAATTTCACCCCACTTGACGTCACACCCGATGCGTATGCCTATACCATGTCTCCTTCTACCATGACTAGATGGACCCTTTGTCCCCTTTTCAAGACAAAACTTTACAAAAATAATAGTAAATATCTCAGAGGACAGTTGTGGAATTTTAATTCAATCAGTTCAACTGTAATTTAAAGGCTGAATTTTTTTCGTCTGTCAGAAAATAATAGCAATGCTGCCAATCCACTACGTTGACCTGACCTGTTAAGAACATAGGTACTGAGTTGACCATGGAGGAAGGAATATAATGGAGGGAGTGAGAGTTCAAATAAGTGATCCCGCGCCAAAATGCGTGAAAGCAATAAAAGGTGCTTCAATATGGCTGCCGCTTCAGTGGCGTATCTTAATAGTATTCATAAGGGGCCCCACTACTCAAAATTATATTCAATGCAAATATTTTTTTTAGAATATCTAAAATTTGAATTTTACTCATAGAAATTTATTTTGTATAATTATAATCAACAAAAAACCCAAATTCACATCAAAGTTTGAATTTTTGCTGTATAATTGTTGCGAGATCTTTGGAATAACATTTAAGGAGATAATATTATAAAGAAAAAACATTAGCCAAGAATAATAAAATCATTATATAAAATTATAAATGACTGGTAGTTACGCTAAGGTTTTGGGAATAGGGTGAGGTTAAAGAATAACAGACGAATTTGTATATGTTGTAATTCTAGAAGCTCGATTTTTTTTTATTAATCCAATCAATGCATATCATTACTTGGTCTTAGTACCAGTAATCATAGAAATGTTGCCTCAATGCCAGTCATTTTCGGGTTAGCGGTAGGTCTTAAAATAATTTTATTAAAAGGCAGTAAGAGAACTGTACTTTATAATTTGTATAATAATTAATATTAATTTACAAATATGTACTAGATAATAATAACATAAATGTTTTTATAGGGTATTAAAAGAATACAATATTACAAAATAAAGATAAATTCACTTAAAGGATTAAAGGAAATACATACAATTTAAATAAAAAGAATACAGGATTACTACAAAGATGAGTTCGTTTCAACTAAAGGCTTGATACTTTTCTGAAAAATAGTATAAGAATAAAAAATATATATATAAGAAGAAACAAAGTAAAACGTCAACGCAATCAAATATGTTTTAGATTTTCTCCATATAATAAAACTTAACATGTTGTTTACATTTTTTTTTTTTTAAATAAACCACATTTTGTAACTGTATTGCCCTTTAAAATGAATCAACTTAGTATATCTTTGCCTATCAGAATCTACTAAATAAGACTTACTTTTACAACTGTATTTTATACGCAAATTCAAATAAATATTAATTATTTCTTTCAACAAAAAAGATGTATGGAGGTGATTTCTATGAAGCAATTTGTCACAGTTTAAATTTTCAATGATGTCAATTACAATTTTGCATTTACTAAGTTTGGTATGTACTCGCTCATGTGTTCTGTAAGTTTTTTCACTTTGTAGGCAAATGGCAATCACATCGTCACTAGGATAGCTCAATCCCCCCTTTGATTTGAAATCAACAAAACTTCCTAATAAGTTCTCTTTTATACCAAAAAGGCATGATATACATATTTCACATTTCAAAGATTTGGCTAATTTAAAAGCAACAAATCCAGCAATGTAAATGACAACTTCCTCACAAAAATTTGTTAAAGATTCCTGCCTAAAGAAATAATTATGTTCAAAATTAACGGCACTTTCCTGAGTAACTTGTACGTCACTCGTTAATATCAATTGATCAGAATTAATAATATTTTCGAGTTTTTTAATTCGAGACGAACATGTCAAAATATTTACTTGCTCTAAGGGTACACAGTTTCCAAAACCACTGTGATTTATTTCTGCGTGTATTAATAATTTTTTATATGCAGATTTAAACTGACGAGTAGTAGGGTTATTATTGCAGCCCCCTAAATTTCTAATTTGGAAGAAAAAATTTTCCAAATGATCTTGACTGCATTTATAGGTGGGCAGATACTGTAAAATTGACGTTCCTCCATCACCCACTACATATTGTTCATAAATATTTAATACTGCATGTAAACCAGCTACAAAACCTATAAAACCTGTTTTACGGGGCGAGTGAATAATTAAATCTTTGTTAAAAAATCTCAATTTGGATATATACGAAGTAAAGCAATTCACAAACGTTTTTACCTGATTAATATTATACTTATTTAATGCTTGCTTGTAACCAAATTCCTTTATTCTGCGCGAATTCAATATGTCAAAAGCGTCATTAATATTTAAAATGAAGGTAGCCGTTGCTCCACAGTTCTTAAACTGATCTAGCTGTAAAATATCTCGACAAAACGTCAAAGCTTCAGAGACAGACCTGCTTAATAACTGTGTAGCTAGAGCAACTTTCATTTTTTGTTTAAAAAAATTTATATGTCTTCTACGTAGTTTGTTTGCAAGGTGCAGCCCTTCATTTTCTTGCAGTTCATTTAGAAGTTCTAAGTATTTAAAATCAATAACATTATTCTCTCCATCGACTATTTTTCTTTTGTCACCAAATGTGTTACGTATTAATTTCATCATGTGTGAAGGATCAAGTAAAAGAAGTATATTCTCTTCACCAAAGTTTGTTTTCAAATTAGAAGGGCTAAATGAGCAACCTAATGCAGATGCCATTGACAAATTTGTCGCACAACCATCAAATGTAATATTGCTAATTTCAATTCCTACACTTTTTACTAAAAATAAACACTGTTTTAGTAAACCTAATTTTTGCTCACTATTTAAAGAATGGCTTAAAAAGTAACCCACAGGCATTTTCCAAGAGCCATTTATAGCAACCAGCATGAAAACTAAAGCTTCTTTGGCCTCTTCATTTTCATTTACTTGTCATCTGTTGAGGATCTACCGAAGGTGCGTCACAAACTTCTGTGTGATGCGTTTCATTGCCTCTAAAGGTCACTACATTGGTAATCTAAAATAAATATATGTATTAATTGTTATATCATGCAGCATGTGAGTTTATTTAATACCCTTTCTTCATAAGTATAAGAAATAGTTGGTACTGAATGTGGCCTTAAAACAACTTTCTGGGCTGATGTTCTATCAAAACACTTTTCTTCAAAATGAAATGAACACAGGAAAAAGTTGTTCACAGACACAGAATTTCCTAGGTGAAGATAAAGGAAGTCTGTCCACAGTTTCTTTAATTCAGGTTTCTGGGGACACCTAAAAGCAATTCAAAAATATTCATTAATCCCTCTTAAGCAAATATTAAACGAAAAAATACGACACCTGTGAAACGTTGTTTTTTCTCTACCAATTGTTGACCTGGAGCCACTCGTAACTTTACACAATTTGCAACTAACCATTTTAAGTTTTTAAATAAACATGAAACGCTTATCGCAAATTCAAAACAAAACGTTCACACTAAACACGAGGTTAAAAGCGAAAATGACAAAAAGAGAATCGTACGACACTGGTCAGTGCTGGCTGATGAAATTATTAAAGTAAGCATGCGCGGTGAAAGGCGCGCTAATTGAAAAGAGTAATAAAAGGTGCTTGCACTGGTGCCAAGAATTTACATTGCCGAGATACGGCGCACTCCCTCCATTATATTCCTTCCTCCATGGAGTTGACTGAGTGACCAGAAATACTTGAGTTGGCAATCCTGGATTTTTAGTTGAAATTATTATCTCTTAATTTTTACCACTTGGATTACTTATATTCATATCAAACAAACAACAAGTGACATGTCAAAACTAAAAGAAGTTTACTTTCCCTTTACTTTCATGCATTACCATTACCAACCCCTCATCAGCCACCAATTTAAAGAGTGACATTCATTAATTCTCTAGATGGTCTACCACTCCAAGTTATTCAATTGCGGTTTCGCGGCGTGCTTTTGTTCTCCGCGCGAAATTTGAATTCATACTGGGACACCACAATACCAAAATTATTTTCAATACACAGAGTGTTCGGTCTTAAGACGTTACATAAAACATATATTTTTCGTTTTTGAGTAGAACACCTGCCTATATATTTTTACTACTTTCATTTAGCCTCTTCTTAGGCCTATAACTACATATATGTATTAGTTATAAGCCTAAGTTAATCACTATTAATTTCAGTTTTATTAAAGATTTTTAATACTTAAAAGAGTTTACAACATCAGTGATCAAAATTAAAGAACAACACAGTTTGATGCTGACACAAATTGAGAAATAAATTCGAAGCGTTCAATTGAATTTGCTTAAACTTGATATTCAGAAACTTCTGTATTTAGAAATATGTTTTTTCTGTAACCGTTGTTCAAAAATATATACAAGTTGATTATAAAAGATTGTATGTCAAGTTGTCTTCAAAATTTGCCGTCTCGTTGGGACGAGCATGACTTGTTATCCATGGAAGAAAAAAATATATATTCACTCGTCCATGTTGTTACCTATCATAAATGTCAGTTTTCTGTTTGGTATGATTTATTATAATCACCATGTAGGTACTTATAAGTATTAATAGGTTTCTCCTCTAATACCTAATCACTAAAAAATATATAACTAACCACATTTTCATATTTTATTATCTAACAGAGTGGAATGTATTTACACGATTAACAGCTTATGGCATTAAACTAAAATCACACTCTAACACCACAGTCTCTACAAATTATCCGTGGAAGTGTGTTTCCTGCAATCATCCACCATCCCGATATTAATCTGCTGCAACGAGTACTCGGGTACTGCTGTGAGCGACTCTGGCCGCGACCGGGCACTATTCCTTGAACTAGTCCTCACCATGGGTACCTCCACCGAAACGATAGTGGTTAAAAGCGACCCCCTGTGGTTGTTCCCCCCAGCACTGTTAATTTTCACGGTTCCTTCACCACTTGTCCTTTTGTACTGAGGTCCAGAACCGTACGGTAGCGGTTTACCGCCGATGGCCCCCTTGTGTCTCTCGGCCCGGTCCTTGCACAGGCCATACCTTCCCATCAGGATGAAAAAGTCGCGGCGGTACTGCTGCGTGAGCAGAGCGTACAGGCAAGGGTTGGCGCACGAGTTGAGGGGGTAGAAGAAGACGAGGAGGATTTTGGTCTGAGTGACGGTGATTAAGGGGTGACCTGAAAAAAAAACAAAGATAAAAAATTTGACAAGTTTACATACATATCTTCTAAGCACTGAATAATTTGTTTCCTCATAATTCACGAACTGTTACATGGATCAATAACTAACAACAGTAACGGTTCTGTAGGTAAGCAGAGAAAAATGTTGTGCCTCGGTGGGATTCGAACCCACGTCTCCTTGCATTCCGGGCAGGTATGCTGACCACTACACCACAAGACAACTTATCTTTACTCTGCTTACCGACGTGTTATTGTGCCGCCACAGTTCTAACCCACTTACAAAGAGACGAATTCAACAATATAGATACTTTTATAGGAATTCCATTGCGCATTTAAAAGTTATATCTATCACTTTAAATTTCCTGTAAATGAAGCGCACCCTACAAAGATCGAGGCATCTCTAAAGGGCCGTCCCCAACGCATCCATTGGCTGTTTTCCCCATTCTGGCCCAGGGAAAAAGGAACAATTGCTATAAAAGAGTAGCTTCACCAAAGCAAAGTTAGAACAGACACTCATTTTTCATTGTCAGTTAGACAGTTGGTAAGTGAGGTGCAGTGTCTAGTGATGAGCTTCTTTTGCATGCTTGCATGCATTTGTGAGTTAATCGCTGTGCTGTGATTCATCGCATCAAGTGAGCCGTCTTGCGAAGCTTAATAGTTCTTTTTAGAACTCTCTTTTCCTTTCCCAGCAATGGGAGAGGAAAGGCCAACAATGACACCTGAGGACAGTATGGCCAACGCCATTTTGGCAGCGGTCAACAAAATGTCCCGAAGATTGAACAGTTTGCTTCTCTGGTCCAAGCAAGCCGAGAGGAGAATGCAGAAACTGGAGCAAATACGCGTAGAGGAATCTTCCAGCTCCGAAGAAGGAGAAGAAGAAGAAGAAGTAGAAGATGAAGTAATGGAGGTTGGGACCCAAGGATCAGAGGCCCCTTTCCAGCCTGCCCCCTAGGGTAGGCAACAAGAGGCCTGTCACCCCCAATTTCTCGTCGACGAATCGCTTCGACGTCTTCAACGGCGACGAAGACACCCCCGCGAATCCCGCGCAGCACAATAAGTTCTGACCATAAAGCCCAAAACTGTCGCCACTCCACGCCCAAAGCCCCCGGCATCCAAGGCCGCCCACCCGCAAGTCGTCCGCCCACCCCGCTGACAAGAGGAAGCCCAAAAGCCCTAACCACCAGTGCTTCCGCGTCGGGACACTGCCAGGACAAAACCTCTCACCAATTCCGACCGCACCTTCGCTGTCGTTGACGATGTCCCCCCCACCACGTCTGTTGTCTCCAATCCTACCTGGGTCCCGCATCGGGATCTAGGCAACACGACCCCTTCTGTCACTTCCGACGATATCTCCACTGCCGTCGACGAGCCCGATACCAAGGAAACGGACAACCCTGCCTCCGATAGTACTTCGCTCCCGTCTGCGTGACAGCAGGAGGTGGCCAGAACTCTCGTCCAAAATGAGAGAGAAATCAACTCGCTTTTCCAAAGCGAGAAACTCGGCTGATGGAATTCGAATCCAGCATCGACAATTTTAGGGGTCTCACAAGACTCCTGGAACAAATAAAGGCGCTATACCACACCTTCGCATTTTCAGAGGCGAAAACTCTGAGAGTGGTGATACGGGGTATCTCCATCGGCATCCCTAGTCAAGATGTGCTAGAAGACCTACAAGATCTGGGTTTCGAGCCATTTCAACTCAGCAGAATGAACCGGCTTGAACGCCAACTTCCCTTGGTTCTTGCTGAAGTCCCGTTGGACAAAAAACTCTATGCGGCCTCTCCATCAAGGTAGAGAAGCCGTACAAATCCAAGGAAGCCTCGCAGTGTCACCGCTGCCAGAGCTTCCAATACTCCCAGGGCCACTACACAGCCGAAGACCGCTGCGTCAAATGCGGTGCTGTTTATCAGAGTGCGACAAACAGCGCTCCAAATCCGCAAAATGCGCAAACTGTGGTCGGATTTACACGACCAACTACAAGGGATGCCTTAAGTTTCCCACAAAGGCAGCCAAGTCTTCGAGTGGCACCCCGCACTGCCCCCAACGCCGCCATGCGAGCGGCCTCTCGCAATCCCCCCACCACCTCCACCAAAAAGGTTTGCTTGACGGCTCGCCAACAGGCCTACCTTAAGGCGCAGCAAACCCAACTCCTCCACGCCATCGCCGCCACTAAGGACCGCAAATCCATGGCAGATAGCCTGATGGCGTTCTTTTCCTTCCTTTTAAATTAAATGGGTAGTAACGAAATAATTTTTAATTCTTTTCAGATCGCCTCTGGAACGCTTGCAGTTTCCAGCGTGGACGTTATGAGCTCGAAGAGTTAGACGCTGTCCTCATTTATGAAACTTGGCTTCAGCCGGGACACAGAGATCCCAAGATACCGGGATTCGCTCTGTACCGAACGGAGCGCCGTGACGGAGAAGGAGGAAGAACTGCCATCTACGTAAGAAACGAGATTAAATACTCTGCTTCTTATGTTCCAGATTTCCGTCAACTGGAAGCGACGGTGGTGACTGTTGAGGACCTCTGCGCCTCGCTGCATGTTACTACATGGACGCCCGCACGTTTCGTGCTCGCATAGACCATACAGTGCCAAGCTTCAAACTGACTACATCACAGACCTCATCAATGGCGACGAACCCCACATCGCAGCTGGCGACTTCAACGTCAAACACGAGGAATGGCACAGCAGACAACGCAACCCGAACGGAAGGCGAATTCATCAGGGGACGTCCTGTACATTGCGCTCGTCAAAAATCTCTGCCACGTAGTGGACGTAACCGTCGTCGACAAGCTCCATTCCGACCATCCTCCGGTGATTATGCGCACTGGGAACGAACCCAACGAACCCACACCGACACAATCACAACCATGGACTGGACGAAACTCGTCGAGCACATCGAAGGTAATTTTGGTGAGTTTAACACGAAGCAACTCTGAACTACGAGAATCGTATCCGAGCCTGCATCTACGCAGTCTCAGTTCGACGCCCTGCGCGGCCATTCAAACGGCCCACGTTATCCCAGCGTATCCTGAACCTTATCAAGAAAAAGAACAGAGCGAGACGACACTTACGACGAACCGGAGAAACAGCCGACCAGACTGCAGCGAACCGCCTCCAATGGGAAGTCCGGAAAGCACAGATCAATCTTAAGAACGAGCAGTGGAACCAAGACCCGAGTTCTTGTACATCGAAGACTAATCGACCTGGAAAATGGCCAAAGCGCTAAGAAGCGACAAGAGCCCACTTCCATCGATTTACACAACGCAACGGTATCGTTTTCACAGATGAGGATAAAGCCGCCGCCTTCGTAGACAGTCTGGAGAACCAATGCCAGACGTACATCTACCCCGACGCAGGCGACGAGCACATAGACCTCGTCGAAAAAACCGTCAAAAATCTTAGAGAGGAAGAACCAGACGACGACGAACTCATCCGCGAAACCAATCTCGATGAAGTCCGAACCGTCATCCGAAGTCTCAAGCCGAGGAAAGCCCCAGGTCTCGACTAGATTCCGAACAAAGCGCTGAAAAACCTTTCCAAACAGCCATCGTCGCCTTGACAGGTATTATTAACGTAATGTTCAGATTTCGTTTCTCTCCAGGTAGATGGAAACAGGTTAACGGCATCTTTATCCTGAAACCCGGGAAAAATCAGTCTTTTCCCCAAAATCATCGCCACATCAGTCTTCTTTCTTCGGTGGAGAAGATCGCTGAAAGGGTCATTCGGAAAAGGCTTGCCGAGATCGTGAACGATATCTTAGGCATTCTTCCCGACGAGCAATTTGGCTTTAGACCCCACCATTCCACCTCCGACCAACTTCTTCGGGTCGTAGAATTCGCAACAAAGTCAATTGAATGGAAACAATTCACAAGCATAGTCTTTCTCGATGTAGCCAAAGCTTTCGGCATCTCTTGGCAGGACAAAACAAAATATCTCGGTGTCTTCATTGACAGAAAGCTCAGTTTCATAGACCAGTGGAATCAAAGGCGTCCTGGCGCCCCTAATCGACAACGCAGCAAGATGTCGATCAAGAACAAACTTCTTCTTTATTGAAAAATCGTTCGCCCCACTATTTCTTATGCCTTAGTAGTCTGGAGCTACGAACCTTCCAAAACCCAATTCCATAGTCTAGAAGTTCTTCAGACCAACATTCTCCGACAAGCTTTCAGGGCCCCTGGTTTGTCAGAAACAACCAGATTCTTCGGGAGGCCAACATCCCAAAGTTAAAGCAATTTCTGCACGAAATTACACTTCACACCTTCAAGAAAGCGGAAGAACACCCCAACCCCTTGGTCCGAGAAGCCTCAAGAAGACGTAAGCGGCCCCGCAAGGCTCTGTTTGATGATAAGATCGGAGTGTGACCCCACCCGCTGCTCCCACCGACCGGCCACCCTTGGCCTTCCCTATCCCCGACCACACCACCCCCGAAAGGGAGGTAAGTATATCTATAATCAGCACATAGCGCACATTTTTCTGCTTCAGATTCTTGCACCGACCACCAGAGGAGGACCTTAAGATTAAAGCATGTGATGGGGGGCAACCTCCTAGGCCAATCAATAGCGCAACCGAACTGCAGTGGCACATCATCTCTATGACCAGTCAAAAGTCAGGACCCAGGTGAAGACGACAAAGTTCTGGTACCTGAGCAAGAAAAAAGCAAAGTTAAATTTGTGCTTGCGTTTGGTGACACAAATTCTGTTCTCCTCTAAGGGTTAGAATTGGTTTGAATCCTGTGACACAGCTCCAAGCAACCCATGGCGACCCCAAGAAGAGCGAGTTGCGTTTGTATTCCATGACAAAACTCCCACTATCCCTTGGCTACCCTTAGAGAGAAGTGTGCTTGCGTTGAGTGACGCAATTTAACCCAAACCTTTGCGTCCGCAAGAAAAATGATTTTAGTTTTATTTCTGAGTTGTACTGAATAAACTTATCAATAAAACCCTACAGTAAAATTTGCTTTGCAGAATTTTGAAATGACGTTATCAAATTGTGGTTGTGGATGATCAAACGATTGGTTAACGTTTTACCATCTATACGCGATATTTATTTCATAACCATCAATCCGCTAGTTTCGGAAATGATCTTTCTAATAAAATCGTAAATAGACGACAGACGACAGACAGACGGAAACGTGAAATCTACTTTATATATCCTAGCGGATATGAAACGTCAGAGATATATAAATTACGTTCAAGATATAAAAAGGTCAAATTTATCAAGCAATAAAGATATACATACAATGTATTACTAGAAAGTTTTAAACAATTTCATTGTTTAAAAATGTTTTATTAACTGGCCATCGTATCGATCAAGTTTAGGTTCAAAATTTTGTTCCAGAATCTCCTGCGATCACGAAATATGTTGCCCACCGACACGTTTGTCTCATAAATTTATTTGGTAAATTGACCGAACTGAAGCTCCAACTACTTAAGTCTATAAATTTTCGTCTTTTATGTGTTTTTTTTTCGTAAATGTTGTGCATGTGTGTATTATATTTTGATCTTGGTTTATTCCTGCACTTGACTCCACGAATATCCTGTAACAGGATTTTTAGTGCACTAAAGATATTAATGTTATTATTATTATTCTTATTATTATTAAATTAGAAAACCCTCAGTGCGGCAACCAGCATAATCGATGGTAATTTTTAATCTCGCAATCGCAACAAGCTTTGGTTGATTTAAGCGCGTAATATCAACATTCCGTGTCGCGGTTCTCCCGAGCGTGTAAAAGTCGTTAAGCTTTCACGCACATACCGAAAAGCGCCGTCGTGCTGAAAAACGCAATCGGAGCCCAGCACGCAAAGTCCGTGAAGACCAGGAGCGCCATCCTCTTGGCCACGGTCAGGTCGGACCGGACGGAAGTCGTAGATCCCGTGTGGCCCCCTTCCCTTATGCTCTTGTACATGCTTCCGTAGCACACGCAGATCAGGGCGAAAGCGATAGCATTGAAAGCCAGCAGCGTGGATAGATAGATGGTGTCCGCTTTGCCCTTGTTCTCCAGGGGCAGACAGATGCTGGTCTTGGAGTAGCTGCTGATGCCGAGGAGGGGGAGGCAGGCCATGAAGAGGGCGCAGATCCAGCCTTAAAAGAAAATTTTTATATGCTGGAAGAATATTTACAAATTCATCGTTAAATTACTTAGTTATATGAATTGGCACTTTATTCTTTAGTGCTTTTCGTCGTTTTGATTGGGAATTATGAATTATTAAGCGACAGAGGGAAAATTGAGAAGGGTTGACAAAAAGGGAACAGGGTTTCGCCCTTAGAGGTCACTCGGAGGAAAACAAACGACTTCCTGTCCGACATCAGTTGGGTGAAAATCAAACAAAAATCGCGATAAAAAAGACGCTCCAGAAATTTAAATTGTTTTAAGCGTAACAGAATGGACTTGGAGAGTCTGTTTCGGTACGAAGCTTTTTATTTAAAGAGGAGATCGTATTTTACGGGAAAAATACCTATGTTTTATAGAAATACAGGGCTCTTTAGTAGAAGAGCCTGTACTGTTGAAAAACTATTATGTTATCAGTAAAAAATGTACGATTTACCGGTTTCATAAGACATTTTGAGGTTGATACAACTGCACTCAATTAATCGAAAATTGTACAGCAGTAAATAAAACTAGAGAAGAAGAAGAAGTCACCCTTTCAAGCACTGTAGGGTTATTTGCCATAATTAAAAAAAATATTGATGGTAGTGTGGTTAAGTTAGAACAACTCAGGTTAGGTCAATTCAAGGCAGAATAGTTCAGATCGGGTTAGGTTAAGAAGGGAAAATGTGTGTAGATTCGTTATTGTATTAACTGCTGCTAGGGTTTTGACTCGTGAGACAGAAGTAAGTGGTGTCATAAGTGCGCGGAGGTAGGACAAAACAGTGTAGTGTAGGGTAGTACTCCTACCCCTCGTGCGACAAGACATTGCTGGAGCAGGGAGATGCCGGACTTTCCAGTCAGCTTTATCTAAGATAAGGGAAAAGGGTCCAAACAACTACTCCTCAAACATAAGAAGAGCAAATGTGAAGGGAGAATAAACTAACCTACACAGGTCGGTAGATCGGCGTAAAAATGTTAAAAGTGTTACAACTGAACATAATCTGTAGTGCCAAGGTCCACGACCTACTGTATAACTAGGGAGCGAAGACTTAGGACGAGACATACTGCATGGTCTCTACCCCGCCAGCACAGGATCTAGTAAGTAATGATCCCAACTGACCTAGGGCAATGGAAAGGGCCGAAATTGTACCCACATCTCAAAAGAGAATTGATGTAAGACTAAGGACGATGGCTTACTGGTAAGCTGGACACGGAGATTGGCTCCAGATATTGGATATTGTGTGTATAGAAAACACGGGCAGATTACCTGTGCCAGGTAATGACATGACATGGAAGCTTCGGATTTTACTTGACCATGACAGGAAAAATTCCCGACAAGATCTGCCTTCTTTGTAAGACGTAAGAGGACAATCCCGAACCTGCAGTCTTAAGCTGGGTAGTGACGAAACGACTTGCAATGATGTAGATAAATATGTGGAGGCCCTCATGAAAAAGAAAGAGGACGAGGAAAGGAATTACCAGCGTTAGCGGCGGCACCGTTGAAGACTAACAGACGGAAATGCAGAACTTCTGCTCGAGTCCTATGTGACGCAAACGAGATTTCGGACTCAAGCGTGGTGGAAGAAGGTAGCGACAAACTTCATTAAGCCAAGAATATTAGCCGAGTCCGTATTCGTACTGAATTTAAGTTCCGAGGTAACTGAAGGGATTAAATCAGCTATCCACTAAGAAAAGGGTAGGTCAGGTCAGGTTAGAGTAAATCATGTGAAAATGCCGCAGGTTAAAAAGAGGCAGATCAGCGAGGGCAAATTGGATAAACTCAGACTAAGTTAGTTCAGGACAGGTCAGGTCAAGTCAGGTAAGCGTGAATTATGTGAATAGGTCAAGACAAAGCAGATTGGTTCATATTAAGTCAGGTCAAGTCAGATAAGCAAATTCAGTACAGGTTAAGTTAGGTAAAGCTTGATCAGCTCGATTCAACTCAATTAGGGCGGCTCACCCAAAAACATAGATATTATTTTACGAAAATTATATTATACCTTGTACTCCAAAGTTTAGTCTTATTGGTTACAAATATCAAAATAATAATAATGAATAACCCTACTGTGATTTTATTTGTGATCATCATAATTCACAGTGGTATTTCAATACCAAATTTGGTGTAAATCTTAAGAAGTGACCGATCTAGTTGTGCATAAAAACTACAGTGGCGCTTCAAAAACAAAACATTCTGTATAGTCGAAGAAACTATTTTACTATTTTCTTAATTATTTTTTGCCTCTTAAAACTAATGAGGTATCACTGAACGCGTGCTTTTTGACTGACTCAGAATGAAGTTTAAAACATGAGGTTTAAGATGGTTCGAGGACAAATTTAAATTGAAAACTTGTCCCGTCGTCACAAAGATGTAAAGTTGCCATTAAATATTTTTGTAGTCTCTTTCTCACACACTCGGTTAGAACAGAAACATCTGTAAGATGCAACAGCTTTTAACTGAAAATCTCTTGTGAATGGTAATAGGGCAATTTTTTTATCGACTTCTGCGTCTTATATCCTCATTCGAGGGGATATTACCATGATGCTACGTGCAGATCTCGCAGTATGTTAAAGTGCTCTAACTTCAAAGACCATAAATATCATAATGATGCAGTTTTCGCTTTTTATTGGAGACCACATGGAATAAATTTGGAACTTTAACAGTGGCTCAGATTACGCTCTAATAATTTCAACTTGTTAATTTGCTGTCACTTTTCGTTGGATTTGGACTTTGTGTGCATTAAGCCACGTCAAATTTGGTCGTCTTCAACAGTTCCAGAATGCAAATTATCGCCTTTGTGCTTATCGGCTGTTTTTCTACGTAACAGAGTGGATCTAAATTACACTACATAAATATATGTACATAAGCAAACTCCAAAAAATCATTCGTGGATGTCTTTTTCTTCTTACTATTAAGTAATTTGTTAAAACACAAGCGATCAATGTCACAATCTTGTTTAGTTCTAGTAAAATTATTTTATATACTTTTGTAATTGTAATTTACCTAATTTTATTATGTGCTTAGGATAAATTTAAATAATTGCATCTAATTTAGTCAATTTAATTATTAGTTCACCAAATGACGTCTTTTCACATAAACTGAATAACTTTTATTAATTTAAAATTTGTTGGCTCCAAATAATAATTAATTTAAATAAGGGAATTTAATTTTCATTAGCTGCTGGAAAACATTTAAGTTAACCAACTTCCGAGTAAATTTAACTGCAACTTTTAACACAGTTAAGCATTAATTGCAAGAATTTAAGTCTAACACTTCTGAAACGTTAGTGAAGTCTTCATTTTTGTGTAACAAATTTACCTGAACATGAAATTCGTTGCTTCGTATTTAGTTCATAATTAGATTGCATTTTTAACTTCAGCTACATTGTTGAAAGTTAAACTATATTTGAAAGTTACCACCTGACAAGTGAGTAAGTATAGCATACTACTACATATAATCCTATACTTAAAAAACGTCAACAGTTTTGAGTGTCTTGTTGAAATTTTTCACTCATTCTCAGTTAATACTACTTCGAAACCATTTCGATTTTAACGTTCAACAAACAATCAGCCCAGTTGTGTACTTTTGCATAAAGCTTTATCTGTGATTTTTATCGATTGCTTCTGTTTCCACAAACCGTATTTACCCAAAACAACTAAACCCGTTTTCAAGGCAATTCCACACAAATTTCGACTTTCAGATTCAGATCTCTAACTTTTGCGGTTATAAAATTTTATTCTAAAATAAAATAGCATACCTGCAATCATCACGCGAACCGCCGTTCGTAGCTTCAGGCGCTTGTTCAGGTGGATGGCCCACGTGATGGTGTACCACCTTTCCGTGGTGATGACGGCCAGAGTGTAGACCGAAAGGACATTACCAAAGATCGTGAGGGTCCCGGCGACACGACATCCATTTCCTGCAATGTGAGATTACGAACGGAATCAACAAACAAGGGTCGCTGAATTTTATTTAATTTGTAATTAATGATGGATTAATGTCGAACGGAAGCAGGGTGCTCGTGTAAGCAAACACTTCCGAGGAAGGGTTGGGGAACTGCGTCGAATTCAGTACGTGAGGTGGAGAAATTATTTTTGGGAAATCAGTTCCGAAGGAGGATAGAATTTTTACGAGGCAATAAAGCTAATTTCAAAAAATCAGTTTTTGGCAACAAGGTTTCGTTAGTATTTTACCACCTATATCATGAGGATTTTCATTTTTATCCGATAAAATTCTGAAATAACATGAAACTCCATCCGTGCGTCCCTGGGTAGACGCACTCATTTTTTTTTATTTTGTTTCACTACTTCCTTTTTTCCTAGGAATGTTGTTCTCATCTTGATAAACATTTTTCCCGTTTTCTTCTTCACTCCTTCATTACTTCTTGACCCATTTTTCGATTTTTTCGCACCCCTGAGATTATCCTTGTTTTGGTGTTCCCGAGATTTATTTTCATATGTATTTTTGATATAAGATTCCTAATTACGTTGTAGATCATCTGCTGTTTTCCCATGTCATCTGCAAACATTGGTTCATTTAAGCAGATTGGTTGTATTTACCAGTATTCTATTTTAGTGTTTTCATTGTTTTCTTGGCTTTCCTTATTGCTTCGTCTAATTCTACCTGTTGAATATAAGAGTGGACTCAGCACACATCCTTGTTGCCTACCATTTTTATTTTCAATTCTTTTGATTCTTCGTTGTTCTAGTTCTGACTATGTTTGTATTCTTCTTGTAGATTTTTTTATAACTTTTATTGTCCCTTTATCTATTTATCTCTGTTCTCGGATTATTCTTATCCCGTCAAACGCTTATTTCAAGTCTATAAAACAAATATTAGTTCATGTGTGCGACTTCCCTTTCCAAACCCACATGGAGTGTCTGTGTTCTTTCCATGTTTTTTGCCAAGATTGTTACGAAATAAACCCCTATCCCACCCCGGCATGACGTCCATGAGCCGTCGAGAGCTTTCTAAGTAATGATGGGTGACTCATCGTCGGTGACGGCGGCTAAGTGGCGTTCGCTAAAGAAAAACCTGGAAGCGGAAATCGCGATGGGTATTCCAGAAAGACATCGATTGCAAAACATCTAGAAATGTATGTATGGGTTTAAACAGAGGCCACCTTCGGGAACGAATTAGTTTCAACCAACAAGTGACGTCCAGACAATGGGAGAAGTTGAGTCTAGTCAAATCGATTCCAGTCGAGTCGGAATTATTCTGTACACAATCGCTGTGTAATTAATCAAGTAAACTTGAGTTACTAAGAAATAAATTGTTGAGTTTTACCTACGCCAATTTTTAATCGCCGATCATCGTAACAGTATTGTTAAACTCCTATAATTATTGAAATTTCTTTTGACCCATTTTTTATATGAATATAATAGGTAATATTATCCCTGACTTCCATTCTTTTGGTATTTTTATTTCTTGTATTATCTCAGTCATTAGCTTGTATTTCCCTCTCATATATTTTATAATTTCGGGGGTTATATTATGCGTTTCCTTATTTTATCTTTCATATGATTTCTGATATTTTTTCTTCTTGCATCGTTTCTGTTTCCTGGGGTTAATTTTACTCATCATATTCTTCCTTTTCAGCTAGATCATCCGCTGTCAATTCTCAGAAATCTTGTTGCCATCTGTCCATTATTTTCTCTTGATCTGTGATCATGTTTCCAACCTTGTCTTTAATGTTAGTTATATTATCTTCTTTCTTTTTTTCTTGTTTTAACTACTCAAGTGTTTCGAAAAATAGTTTTTGGTTTTCTCTCTAGTTTTGGGTCATCTGCTGTCCAAATTTTATCTATGATTCTTGTTTTTCTTTCCTTTTGATTATTTGTTTTATTCTTGCGGTCCATTATTCTGTTTTTTTTATTTTTTTATTTGTTGTTATTGTGGTTCTACAGCTCTTTATTGCTCCATCTAACACGTTGTTTTTGAATTCGATCCATTTTTCTCCTATTTCAAGAATTTCTGATTCCTTTAATTTACTATCTCTAGATATTTTTCTCGATGTTTTGTTTCTTTAACTTCACAATTATTTATATTTTGTTTCATTCTATATCTTTTTATTTATCAAATAGTCTTCACTTCTTACTTTCGTTTCTTTTCTCACTTTTACATTTTTACCGGTTTCTACTTATTTTATTTTTCTGATTAGAAATTTATCATTGATTTTTCATTTTTACTAGTTACTTCTCTCGTGTACTTATTTATGTCTCTGTATTAGAATTGAATGTTGCTTATTACTGAATGATTTTTCCATTTCAATAGCTCTTTCTCCGTTGTTGTTCTTCGTTTCTTCCTTTTCTCTTCCTTCTCTCATTATTATCATATTTTCATCTTTAGTTTCTTTTGTTGCATCTTCGTGTTCTTCATCAGCTATTATCATTGTCCACTGTTCTTCGTCAAATATCTTCATTTCTATCTTTAATATACTTTCATTTTCATATTCTTCTTTAATTATGTACTTTAACTTATTTCGTATTATTATTAATTCTACTCCTTATTTTGCTCCTTTTTGATCTATGTTTGACCAGAAAAGCCAGTATACTTTGGGTATTTTTGTCATACTTTTTATTTATTTTTGTTCCCGTAATTCCAGGTATACTTTGTCTATTCCAGGTAATGTATTTCCTTTGTTCGCCCTTTGCGTTTGTATTATGTGTTTTTTACTTTTTATCCATTTTGTTCACCTAGTTCGTCGTATTTCTATTTGCCTTTCTGTTACTTCTTTGTTTTTGGTCCCATTTAGATTCTTTTGATCTTACTCTTTTCCTATGCCGCTACTGTCTTATTTATTTTTTGTCGTATTTCTAATTCCTTCTTCGTTAATTCGTTATTTATATGTCTATTTTCTTCCATTGTCTTTAATTTATCTTTATTTGCCATTATTGTGGTGGCCGAACTTGAATCGCATTTGAATATTTTGAATAAAAGAAAAATCAATCAAGAGAATCGTTAAATATGGGCAGCCGTATGCACGTTTAGTTCTGTTCTGGTAGTTGGTAGCTGCTAGGGAATTTTAGTGACAGGGTTGGTAGGAGTTGGCTGGTTTGGTAGATGAGCCATTCTGTTCGGTGGCGTCACCTTTGGGTTGTTTGTTGTGAGGGCAGCTTGCGTTAAGGAAGCTAGGTTAAATTTAGTTGGTTTGGTAGTTAATAAAAGGGAGAAAGCCTTTGTTTAACGAAAATTAATCGTCACGACGACGACGCCACAATTTCCCCAACACTCGTAGCTAATTCTTGCGGCTTTTTTCAAGCGGAATCGGTGAATTTTCAACCGACGCTAACACGTGTAAATTTTATTCATTGTTTGTAAATTCACAGTTCATTTTAGGATTTTAATCGTTAACCGGTTCTAACACAATTTAACAGTCAGGAATTTGTTTAGATAAGCACTTGCTAGGAGATTTCATGAGATTCACTTTGTCAGGACTCGCCTTATGAATAAGTTTCTGGATGCTTATACTTAAGTGTTACATTATAACACTACTTAATTCCTCACACAACATTGCCAAAGGGACCGTGAAAGTGCGGAAGAATTTATAATATCGTGAACTGAGGTACAGGGGGATTATAAATTTTTCTTTTAGATAGTTATCATAGTTATTATCATCATATCATCATCACATCACCGAGACATTTTGTGTTTATTTATCATGTGTTTTATTTGGGATAAACAGTTCACGATATAAACTTTCAAACCTAATTGTTTTAAGTAACCAATCACTTCGATGAAGGCATAATTATTTGTTTGAATCGTTGATAAAGTGTGGCATAATTTAACATAGTGTAAATTCTTTGTTTGAATCGTCGATAAAGTGTGGCATAATTTAACATCAGGTAAATTCTTTGTTCTGTCAGCGGGCATCTTGGAACAGTATTTTTCAAACCATGTGCTCGGTTTCTAACTCTAAAATCTTATTGAACAAATTTTGTTGTTTGTTCATCTTAAGAACGACGACATTTCTAACATGATGTTTTATAATACTCGTCTAACTTAGGTTGTAGAACCAAAAGTTCCCATTAAAGGCTTTCTGGTAACGAACATAACATTTTCACGTAAGTATCATTCACAACTATCTTCGCAAAGCCCTCCACTTAACCCATCCCAAAGTGGAAAACAATAACTTACAGCAATGCCTTTGTGAAACCCCTCATGCATGAACAAGATTTGATGGCATCTAAACATACATCGCATAATGGCCACTTAATCTTTCCACTAAATTTCCATTGTTCGCAAATGTTCATCAACATATGTAGAACGGCAACAAGCAAGAAAAGTTGAAAGTTTACCAAACTTTCACGCACAACATCGCGCTGTACAAACACAATGCAAATGCGGTTTTTCCGATCTGCTGAAGACAAAAGAAAATTGAGAACAACAGCTGTAAGTGAAGGAATCGATACCACACTTAACAAAAAAGGATATGTGGGGTTCCGAACCGTACCACAACGACTCAATTATTTACCAAGCACTCGTGCATGTAACCACGTTCGTGCAGCGCCTAATGCAGGAATGTGTTAGTTGTATTATGGGAAGCGAATCGAGGTAAGGAGCTTTCAAGGAACGGTTTTTGAAAAACGAAACTGGCTAGAAATTTCTGAGGGGAGCACTGTGAGTTAAACCGAAATCTAGTTGACAAGATGGAAGCGGAATTTTTCAATTCAACGGACAATTTTTTCAATAGTATAATCCTAATTATAAGCAGAAGAGTACTTTTTTGGTCAAAATTGAAATTGGAAACAATTAAATTTCGGAATTTAATATTATTTGACAATTTTTTTCGTTGCTGGGTGCACGTCGGCATTCGGAGCCTGATTCCCACCTTCACACCGACTTTTCTTGCGAACAAAACCCACTCTCCTTTTGTCTCCTTTCAGTATTTAAAACTTCGCTCCTTGTACTCTCGGCCCG